CTCGGCAACATATATAGCACGCGCGACGCAATTCTTTTCCTACAATCTTAATTAAGGGGACTGCTAGGAAGAATAGGGGCCCTTGGGATGGGTTCAGAATGGGGCAAGACGACCTGTGGAGGGCCGTTATAGCAGGCGCGACGTATCACTATGGGACGCGCGACGGTCGAAAAGCGAACTCCGGAGGGCGCTTTTCACCATCGTCAGAGGCGCGACGCATGGTTATAGGACGCGCGACGTATGCTTATAGTACGCGCGACGCACGGTTATAGTACGCGCGACGCACGGTTATAGTACGCGCGACGCATGAGGGCGCATTTCACCACCGTCTGAGGCGCCATGCACGATTATAGTACGCGCGATGCACGATTATAGTACGCGCGACGCACGATTATAGTACGCGCGACGCACGATTATAGTACGCGCGACGCACGATTATAGTACGCGCGACGCACGATTATAGTACGCGCGACGCACGATTATAGTACGCGCGACGCGACGCACGGCAAATTAATTAAAAGGTGTTGCACGCGGCCGGAGTTGTGGGCGCCCCACAAACCAGCAACTCGGAGTTGGGCAACCTCGAAGATTATTTTTTGAAAAGCCGCGAGCGAGGGGTGGAGGCGCAGCGAGGTCGAGGACGTGGGGAAGGCCGTGCGGAGGGCGAGGACAAAAGGGCGGCTGTGTTCATGAGGGGGCTCCGCAGGAGCCCCCTCACGAACCCCGCCCTTTTGTCCCGCCCGGAGCCGGCCTTCACCACGTTCTCGGGCGAGCGCGCCTCCAGCCCGAAGCTCGCAAACCCACAACGGAGTTGCCCACAAAAGGTGCGTTTTCTGCAAAGGGAGTTGTGGGCACCACACTTTTTGCTATCTAAGCCCTTTTTGCAGACAATTCCTTTTGAAAGCAACTCCGTTGTGGGTTTGCGAGCTTCGGGCTGGAGGCGCGCTCGCCCGAGAACGTGGTGAAGGCCGGCTCCGGGCGGGACAAAAGGGCGGGGTTCGTGAGGGGGCTCCTGCGGAGCCCCCTCATGAACAAAGCCGCCCTTTTGTCCTCGCCCTCCGCACGGCCTTCCCCACGTCCTCGACCTCGCTGCGCCTCCACCCCTCGCTCGCGGCTTTTCAAAAAATAATCTTCGAGGTTGCCCAACTCCGAGTTGCCGGTTTGTGGGGCGCCCACAACTCCGGCCGCGTGCAACACCTTTCAATTAATTTGCCGCGCGTGTCGCGCCTCCTATAATCGTGCGTCGCGCGTACTATAACCGTGCGTCGCGCCTCTGACGATGGTTAAAAGGCGCCCTCCGAAGTTCGCTTTTCGACCGTCGCGCGTCCCATAGTGATACGTCGCGCCTGCTATAACGGCCCTCCACAGGTCGTCTTGCCCCATTCTGAACCCATCCCAAGGGCCCCTATTCTTCCTAGCAGTCCCCTTAATTAAGATTGTAGGAAAAGAATTGCGTCGCGCGTGCTATACATGTTGCCGAGGTATCGATGGAATAATCGGTTTCCTTAACAATTTCACCGCCACCAGTATTGAACGCGCGACGTAAAACCATTATTGTATGCGCGACGTAAAACCAGTATAGAGCGCGCGACGTGATACTTTTACATGGGAGCATAAGTGTTGCCAACCTATGAAAAAACACGTCGCGCGTACTATAACATTACCTATTATAAGGTGGTGTGTATAAAGAAGTGCAGGGGAAGGAAATGAACCAACGACCTTGGAGGGGCCAATCAAGCTGGCAACGCGGAGGGAAAAAAACAAGAAGAAGAGAGACAGATAACCCCTCTGCTTTGATGCATCGCTCAGGCTATTATTTTGTGGAGGGCTGGAAAATAATAGCGAGAGAGATGCAACGACGGAGAGAGAGTTAAAAAATCTCAACTGTCCTAGCTGATGCCATTACTGATAATTTCTGGGTCATTTGATACTCAAAGTGAGAAGAAAAAAAAGCAGAAAGGGGACATTCTGATTTAATCTGATAATTGCATTCAAAAAGACACAACAAAAGCGTCTCCACAAGATTCTTTGTTAATACTTTGCTCTTTTTCACAACGATTGATTTCAAATTCTTCATTTCACTTTTTACAGGGAACATCACCAAGCTTCAAGTAACCGATTTTCATCCCTAATAAAAAATAAAAAGCTATAGAGTTAGGCAACAAATTAAAAAACCCAAAATAAGGAACTCATTAATTTAAACTCGCTCCCTATAAATTAAGTCTAATTTTTATACTTGTAATATTAAATTTAATTTATTCGGTACGGTTAAATTATTTGAAAATCTGTGCAATCTTTATGTTTTGCTGAATGCGAATAATAAAAGGTGAAAATCATATCGAATAAAATTGCAGTATGTTAAAGATTATGCCATTGGCCAGATTTTCACTGATTCATAAAATGTTTTCTGTATTTAATAACTATTTTTTCTCTCTTTTTATTGTCTTGATAGACTTTATGTAGTCATTTTGCCATTTAACTTTTTGAATAGTTTAGTTTTGTGGGCTGCATAAATTGTGGATCTTTTATACTACAGGGAAACACTTATGTATTTTTCCTTTTCCTTATCGGCGTCACCTTGAAATCTTGAAACGGTAACTTAAAATTTCCATTATCAGCACTTTTTTATCACAGAGTATACAATTAAAAAAATAAAATAAAAATACATAAAAAATAAGTCATAAATTTAGAAAAGGAAATTTGTATAAATTTATTTCACTCTATAAAGCGTCGATTTATAAATTTTATAAAAATAAAATTGAAAGCGATTTCAAGCAACCAATGTCTGCCGTAATTTAAGATTTTCTCATGAGATGTGAAAATTAATTAATCCGACGAGTACCTGCTTAATTGATGCTTCTCTTTCCTTTGATACAATTACACTTGAATATAATTAATCCATTACAAGAGGTTTAAATTTGGCGTTTATGGCAAACGAGCGTCTCTCGTCCCTTAATATCGGCGGTGCGTATTACATAATAATAATGCAGTGCTCATGCATTGCCGGCAGCGCAGGGTAATTACGCCCAATTTCCACCCCTCGGGCCTTGAGCTCAAGTCGCAGCTCGATCATCTCTCTTGGTCTAATCTGCCTGCGCCTTTGTTGTATAATATCCTGCCATGCTCGGCGTCTTCCTTCTTCAGATCCAAAATGATCGCGCGCGGTCCCCTCAGCATCTCTCTCGCTCATAATCACTAATCACCGCACGCCATTCCTACACACAACGTCTTGTCCTGCAATTCCGCACTCTCAATCCAGCCTGATGATTATATAATGGACGTTACACGAGAACGTGAACTTTTCTCACCACGTGCGAATGAATGTGCGAATGTTGCCGGCAGCGAAAGAGTAATTTGCGCGTGCTCTTAGGTCATTGCTAAAAATATAATCCGAGAGCAAAAAAATTTCACATAAAATAATTTAGATTGTGTAATCAAATTTTAGCGTTTTTTTCATAAGGAATTTATTCGCTTTCCGTTTTTTTTTATGTTTTCCTCCTTCGTAATGATTGATGTGGAAATTCCTGCAGGAGAGTAAAAAGAATGAATCATACTCAATGGAATGTTTTTTATTGCTAACTAAGCGATGAGAATGAATCAGCTTTAAAGCTGTGATGCTCTGAAATTCCAAGTAAGAAAAGGTTTTTTCAAATAAAAAGAGAAAGAAATTAGAAATTTCATGACTTCTTTCTAGTGAATTTATTAATTAATGCTAATTTCTTATTCGCACCTTCCAGTTAAGGTTGCTACTTAAACAAATTTTTTTTCTTAAAAATAATTTAGATATAGAATCAACTGTTCAGTTAAAAAAAATTGCTAATTTCGATGCACTTGTATTTATTTTTTTAAGTAATTGATAAAATTTTTTTGCAAAATTTCTGTAATACAATAAAATGAAAAATGCTTTGACACGTTTTCGCAAATAATAATTAATTCTAAAATAATTTTTAACCTAATACCTACTCCCATAAAAACCTAAATTTGAATATCAATGCATGCAATCAACAATTTATCAAATTGTACAAGCAGAACTCCGATAGTTGAAATCTCTTTTGTGAAGCCTCAATTTTTGCGTAGTGTGTGGCGCATGAAGCATCATCTCTATTTCTTATAAACTACGACTTACCCGTTCATGGCAGAAATTTTCCAATTGAGCCCCGTCTGTGAAATGCGTGCCCCATGCTCTCTAATAAGATGAAACTCTTCGATTCAGCGGCAGAGTCGCGGTCTGGATTGCGTCACAGGATACGAGCATTTACTGAATTTAAAGATAATAGGCCCAACTTTCAATCTGATAATAAAATGATCACTCATTATATGATGATGAACCAAAATTAAATTCGTCACTCTTAAATCATTGTGTGGCACATGTGCGTGTTTATTGTGTGTGGCTGCGATTGTGTCAAGAGTGCTGTAGGGAGGATGTCTTGTGAGTATATGGGACACCCAAATTGGTCTTAATGAGGAAGAAATAAATTCTCTTGTGTGCACCACGCGTGCTTCAAAAGTGGAAGAAAATTCACTCGCATTTAATTGCTGGACTATAGAATTCAAGCAAAAATTACTTAGAAAAAAAATCATATAACCAGCACAAGGGAATTTTTTAAAAGACGTTAATTCATATGCATGCTTTTAATTAAACCATCAAAAGCTTGCCTTACTGAAAGCTATTATTATAAAAAATGGTCATGGGTCATATGGGCCTCAATATTTGTGCATATTTAGGCACTCCATGATTAAGAACAAAAATTTCTTAAAGATATAATTCAAATATAGTTTTGCTAGATTTCAACTGATGTTTGAACTTTTTTCAATAAATATTATAATTATTTTGGAACCAATTTAATTTTTAACAGAAATATTTAAGTGAAACTATTTTTGAATAATTAAAAATTGAAGGTTCAAGAAATAAAACTATATTTAAATTTATTTCTGCTGCAAAATATTTTAGGGAGAATAATCAGGAAAATTTTGCTGCAAAACTATTTAATCTAATTTTTTTCACTTTTAATTTGATTTTTTTATAAAAATTTTTCAAACGATATTTTTAATTAATTTAGGTTTTAACTTTCAAACTGATTTTCGTGCAATTGATTTCAAGTCGCGGCGTCTCTTCCCGTGTCCAGCAATGTCGATGTCCTCCTCTCTCATTCAGCCGCCTCCGCGACGTGTTGCCGCCCCCGGCCCAGCCGCCTCCGGTCGTGGCCTCAGCGCTTTTCGGCAAACTCAGCGAAACCAGGTGCAAAACGGCCTCCGACTGTTGTGCGGCCAGACGCACCCGACGGCCTCCGCTTGAGGGGCGGCTGTTTTCGCTCGAAGGGGCCGGGGGCGGCGGAGGCGACGGACACGTGGACGGAGGCGGTGTCGGCAAGTGTCCGCAGGAGTGGGGGTGTTGGTGCAGTCGGTTTATCAGGGTGAGGCGCGAACTCCGAAGGGTGAGACCACCCTCGTGCTTGCGGCCGCCGGCCTTGCCAGCCGGGGGCGGCTCTCTGGAGGCCGTTCTCTGCCTAGTGGAATGAAAATAGTAAAAAATGATATAATTTGAGGATCATCAGATCAACTTGCATCGCAATTAGTCTCTCTGTGAGCCAGGGCGTGAGGTCTGCGTGGTCAATGGGACAGCGAGCCCCTCTCGACCGAGAGGAATTTCGTTGCAGCCACGGAGAGAGGCACTCTGCGTGGAATTCGTGGCCACACTGCAAACCGCTCACCGTTTCGCCAGTCTGCTCGCAAATGAAAGGATTAAAAATTTAAATTGCATACCTCTTAACTTCCCCATGCAAAATTTACAAAAGAAAATTATGAATTTCATCTTCATTGCAATTTATGTTCATAATCTGTGTTTAAGTTGATTTTAATTTAATTTCATTTTCATTCAGCAACTCTTTCTTTACTGGGATTCTCAAATTTAAATTATGATTAGTGACCGATGATTTTTAGGGAAAAAAACGAAGTCAAAATAACTTCGGGTTTTGGGGGAAAATCAACGCGATACATGCATAAGAGAGATAAAACGCCTGAAGGCTATGTTGACCCGCACAACTCCCGTGCATTTCAGTTGCATAAGTAAATTTATTTTAAAAAAACTGAGGAAATGTGCCGCATTAAAATTAGGAATTGAGAGATTTTTTAACAAATATGTCTTCCTTAATCCATTTTGTCAATTTTTTGCTTTATATTTCAAGTTGTAAAAGATTTTTTGATTTCATTTATTAAATTAATGAATTATAAATTTACATAAAATGTAACAAAAGTACACTGTTGAGAGTCAGTGACAGAAAATTATGAAAAATTTCGCATATTCCCTAGATTTTCCCTTTTTTTTTTAAACAAAACTCTGGGATAATTTAATTTTTCTATTTAAAATTCTAAAACAATCTGCCGTTTATGGCATATAATGAAGGGTTCATTCTGTATATTAAATTTGAATCCAAAGTAGTTAATAGTATGTATTTTACAAGAATTGATGGAAAAATAATAACTCATCTTTTTTTCTATCTGAACACATTAAATTTTTTAAGCTTGAATTGAAATCATTTCAAATGACTATTCTTTAATGCAAAGAAAGGAAAGAATGAACTAAATATTTAATTTAGTTCTGCTCTGCTGCGTATGTGGTCCAGTGCGGAATTAAGACCTTTCCTTGAACCGCGCCAAGGACGCATGCAGAGCACTTTATACTTATCTCACTGTGTGTGGTTTTTCGCGGCGTCCCGCGCGCCAACCAAAAGCAAAATAATCCAGCCGCCGATATTTTTCAACTCATTAAAGTGTCAAGAGGCAAAAGCGGGCGCAGTTTTATTTGTTTTTAATTACGTTGCGCTCAGCAATATTCCAATTATCGTGCGTCGCGAGAGACGCGCGGCCTTTGTTTCGCCAAAGAAAAGAGGTAAATTACAAACGGGGCGGAGTAGTCGCGAGAGGTAAATTAAACGATACGCGTCGGCCACTTATTTTGAATGACAGCCACATCGCGCGGGGAGAAAAATTTAATTTTTCACAAAAGCAATTTCGTGTTCCATAGCCGCGGGGTGATTGTTTAAAACGCGCGTCCGTCTCGCTGCCTGCGTTGATTATATATACGAACCACCGACCGCGGCCAACCATCGCTTGGTAATTTTTCTCTCGGATTGTTCTCGGAATTAAGAAAATTAACAAAAATCCTTTACGACGAGAGGTCTATATAATGAAGCAATAAACCTTTTGTTTAGAGAAAATTTGCAATGATTCAAGCATGGGCAAAATATGCTAGCAATTTTTGTTGTTTTTAGAGAAAAAAAATTACAGTAAATGTTTAGAATTTGATAGAAAAGTGATTATTCAGTGTGTTAATTAATTAATTATTAATTATTAATTATTAAGATAAAACAATATATGAAACAAATTGATATGTTAATTAGGGTAATAATTAATTTGTAGAACTACCAAAATCAGTCGCGTCCATCGCGTCCATCCTTGATTTTGATCAACATCATCGGTAAGCAAGAAAATTTAAATTTTATAATTCAATAAAATTTAAAATTTCTACAAGTGAGTTAGACTGATTGGAAATAGCTGAAATTCCCAAACAGGTGCTACATTAGGTGACATTTATTATTTAAATTAATTCTTTAAAATCAGCCAAATTAATCAAATTAATTTAAACTTCTGTAAAATTAAAAAAAATAAACATCAAAATTTTTTAATAAGGGAATTTATTTATTTGCATTCTTTGTATAATCATCTAGATCAATAATTAATTAGTATTTTACAAAAAAAAACTACTAAAATAATGGTACTTCGCATGCGTAAATCAATACAAATCAAAAATTAATTAAAAATCGAAAAATCGTATTTTTTTTTTGTCTTTTGTTTAGCAATATGAATCAATTTTCAGCTACAAGTGTAAAATTTTCTTTGTCCAAAAATTTGCTGCTTTTATCCTGCATTTTTCCAAGGCGTATATCGCACCAAAGGAAAATGATGATCCCGCGTTCGCCGCCCTGTTTCTTTTTTGCCCTTATGGAGCGGCCGCCGGGACGACTTTTTGTCGTTGCAGCTTTTCTGCGGAGCCCGAAATCATGTGTGCTGCTATATACGGGGCATGTGCGCATGCATCTCACGTGGGCCAGTTTAAATTACACACAACGTACGTGAGCTGATCAGAGGCCGCGATAAAAAGATGACTTGCTCTGGCTGGGTCTCTGCAGCTCGTTATGCACGCGGCGGCGGCGGAGATGTTATTGTTCCGCCGGAGCAAAGGTAATCGCAACACATGTAAAGCATTTTGTCAAAAGGCTCTCCCTGCTCCGCTCATTTAATTATTCAAAGTATGCGTGGCCATTAGACATTTCTCGCACTTCGGGGCGGCGCACCAGCTCTCTCACGCACCCCGTTTGCATCAGAATTGCTTCGTACATTTATATTTAATTATTGCGAGGACGTGAGGCAAAAATTTCAGCTATCTTGATTGAAAGTGCGCTCGGCACGCTGAGGAATTCCACGAGGTATATTAGATTTCGTTTCGAGACTTGGGAAACCGGACTTGCAATTTTTTGTCTAAAAATCTCGTCTTACTTTTTATAAAAAACATATTTAAGAGCTGAAATTTTCACTTAAAATTGCTCAATCAACATAAAGTTGCTATTATAAAAAATAGCATGGATAAAAAGTGGCTTGCTTGCCTTGCTTATTAAAAAAATTTAATCAACCCATATACACTTTATATTCCAAAGAGGAAAAATAATTCCAAAAATTATGATATAATAAATATTTCCTATAAAAAACCTATATGTGATTTAAAGTTGTAACTTGAATGTATAATTACATTTTGTTTCATCGTCAGAGAACACAGAGAACACGACCCTAAAAATGTAATGATGCATTGTTTTAATTCTACTTTTTTATTAAAAAAATGAAGTTGATTAATTAAATATTTGAAATATTTAATATGAAGCACAAGCTGGATTTTTGGTTTGAAATTCATGATTTATAAATTTCTGTAAATTTAATTCTTGTCAATTTTCAGTGCAGAAGATGTGAACTACAAAAATTATTGCCGTTAAAGAATATATCGAACATTAAAAATAATCAAAAAGAAAATTTATCAGCGCCTAATGAGCAAATAATGGGGTACAAAAGTTGAGAACTCGTCTGGTAGCTCAAAACGGCTGAAGCGGCTCATTAGGCACTTGAGAAGGGAGCGACTCACTCATTGCACATTTGCACAGCCTAAAACACAGCTGCTGCTGTTTCGGCTCTGGATTTTTTCCATCGCCGCCACACAGAGCATACGAAATGTGCCGCATGCTATTTCTGCTGTTATTCCAGTAATTAGATCCGCCTTGGCCTAATATTTGGCCGCGCATAAAAAATTCTCATGCAGCGCATGGGCTTTGTGATGCGGATCAACTCTTTGTGGCTCGCTCAGTCAAAGGGTTTGAGCAAATGTGTGCTCTATGTGCGTTTATCTATTGCTGAGTGAGGGGCAGTGAAAAATTTTATGCTTGTACATAATCAATAAAATAACTTTGTTTCGAATTTTTTTTAATATATATATTATTTACATTTAACCGCATTTAACAAAATCATCTAAAATCAAATTTGAAAATAGTTTTAGTTTCAAATAAATGAAGTGTTAAAGAGGCAAATACAGTATAATTGTTGATTACGTAGATTTACAGCTAAAAATAATGAATGTCACTAATAATTTTAAAATAAGTTACTTTTTTGTAATAAAAAATAATTTATGTTGAAAATTGAATATTATTATGGTCCGTTTGAAGTTTGAATAATAAATTACTTCTATTGACGACGCATTTCTCACTGCCCCCGCCAAAAGAGTATTTATTTTTTGTGCGCCTCTTTGTGTGATATTCTGGCTAGATAGATAGATGCTCGGGATAGATTTATGCTCGTATGTGTTTCGCGAGCGTCGCTCTGCTCCCACGCCACGCTGACGCCCCTGCTGCTGCAACACAATGAGAGCTGCATCCCCTTAGCTTGCTTGCACTCTTCCACCCCGCCCGGCTGACTTTTCAAACACCTGCACGCCGTGTGGGAGAATTTTTCAGGGGGATGTTTTGATTTGGCCTGGCAACAAAGCAAAGGCTGAATTCACGCCTGTTCCTCATCAAACGTTCAAAAACAATTCGGAAAAAAATTATCCAATGCATAGAAAAAGTAAAAGTAAAAAATCTCACCTCGTAGTGGCGAAGGCAGAGGCAACACTGGTGCCCTGGGGACAGCAGTCGGTGTCGCGGAGGTATTTTCCACTCGGGCAGCGCCCGCACTAACACGCTGACAGCCACCCTGCAAAATCAACAAACGTTTCAAATATTTGTGTTTGCAACATATGCTTTGACCAGACATGTCACACGCATAAAAACATACTAAAATTTAATTAAACCGAATTTAAAAAATATTGATTGTGATCGTGAATTGTTGTGAATGCAAAAATTTATCTACATTTTGAATATAAAAAGATCTTACAAATTAATATTATCTTTAAATTTTAATTTTTAATATAATAATCAACTCTGAAAGAAACAAAAAATTGTCTTGTTAATTTTTTATTTACAGTTCTTTTTTTTTGGTTCATTCAACGAACGGATCGCGAGGAATAGATTTTTCCACAAACCGGCGTTGTTGTTGTTTTTTTTTTTTTTTTTGCATAAAATGCAGGGATAAAATATTTTTTTTACTGTACGTCTATTATCCTTAATCTTAAAATTTTATCATTAAATGTTAAAAAAAACTTCAGTACCTTATAAAAGTTTATTTAATTTTCTTGTTTCCGTTAAAAAATAGAAGCGACTGACCAACAATTATTATTTCGTTACTAAAATTTCATCTCGTATAACAAAGTCAATTTTGAGGTTATTCATTATTGACGGAAAAAATCTGTCACATAGGTGATAGTTATACTCAATCATTTATTAGTGAACTTTACACGCAGAGGGTGCTACAATTCTGATGAAGCCATAAGTTAATTATTACACACTATTTAGCCTATCTATATGTTAACTGCACGCAAGAGCATTTAACTCCGACGTCAAAAGACCGTGTGAATTACACGTGCACAAAACGTGTATAATTTCTCATAAGCGGTGCGTGCGACTATTGACGAACTTCAAACGGTTTGATCGCTGTGATCAGGGCAAACATCACGGAAATCATGCCTGTAATCTGAGGAGAAAAAGTGCTTTCATATTTTAAGTTATTGAGAAAAAAACTCAAAAACATTACCTTTTTAAAGTTTTCGTTGTGAACGTTCAGTGGCAGAATCTAGCTGTCGCAAGTAAAAAAGAAATCAATACTTGTCCTGGCTTCTATAACTTGCATACTCTGATAATCAGGGTGACTACTTTCGATTGGCGGTTCTTCCAACGGTGCAATTGCTATTCTGTATTGCAGCATTCGATTGGCATAAATGTTCTAAAGGAATAACAAAATATCAGAAAATTCAGTTTATTTTATTTCAAAGTACTTACTTGCTCAAAAATAATTGATCCGTAATTGCAGAATAATAAAATGGTAACCAAGTTTTGAACGATCTCCGAAATCAGAAACAGCGCCGTGATGGGCGTCAATGCCTATATGGAAATAATTTTTGTTTACAAAAATTATTATAATCGAAGGGACTTCTACTTTTGAAACAATGTGAACGATGATGCTGCTGGCCACCATAAGAAATCTTAGGCACGCCGCAAAGAAAATTGGTGTACAGAAAACCATCATTTTGCTTGTCAAGCTGAAAGAAATTAAATATTTACCCCTTCAAATTTAATTCATTATTTCAAATTCACCTCAAAATGTAGCAATGGATTTCCTTCACATATTTTATATCGTAGATCGTGCAATTGAAGTCGCTGGGCCAATATTCTGCCATTAATTCAAGTCTCGTCCGTACATGCAAATTTTTCACGGCGTCTTTGAAATGCGCCATCAGGACGACAGAATACTCCAGGAAAAATATTGAGAGAATGTGATAAAAAATATTAGCAGATATCATTATCAACAAGACAGTTAAATAACTGATTTTCAGCAGGATTGACCAGACTTTTGCAGAATTGCTAAAAACTTCATTTGTTCTCAGACTTTGGTTGAACAAGTCTTTGTCTGGTGCATTTATGTGAATATTTCTTGTCAGCATTTGCACGACAAAGGTGAAAATGTACACGACCACAATTTTCAAAGAATATCGCCAAACCCTAAAAGAGATTCAACTAATTTAATTAAAAAAAAAAAAAAAAAAAAAATATTCGTCTTACCCGGACAGCTCGTTTTTCAGTGAGTTGTTAAATTTTCGAATTTCTGTTGGAGAGAAACGCATCAAGTCCTGCAAATCGCTTAGGTGAATGATGAATGATAGGGTGACCCAAATTGCTAGAGCAAATCCGAAAGTCGTGAAAATATGCTTCGACAAAAATTCGCCTCTTTTCAGTTGGAGAAAGGAGAGGAGAACAATAACGGTGAAAGCTATGGCAGTTGACAAAAGTGAGGCCCATTTGAACTTTTTGCCAATCGGTCCCAATATTGCGCAGATTTTCAAAATAACTCGTCCGCACCCTACAAAGTGAATGGGTGCTTTAGGAGAACTTGTTTGTAAAGCGTCCATGACTGAAGTGACAGAGTTGGTTGATTGTGTCCTCTTTTATGGTGATATATTCGTGAAAGATCCGCACGCGATATGTAATTATTTTTAACCCCTTGGACGATATTATAATTAAATGCAGCGAAAATGCCGACACCTATACAGACAGCGTATTTATCGTTCTCAAAGAAATTTAGAATTGCAACAATGAAATCAATTTTCATTGTTTGTGTGCCAATCAGCAATAGTGTACCGCTTTTGTTTGGCTATCAACAATGCAATCAAAAATTCATTATTGCATTGAGCCCCACATTCATATAAAAGACAATATTCAACGCAATTTGTTCTTTTCTTGCGTATTTTATTTTGATTTTTTTTTTTAATTTTAAAGTACGTGCCAAGATCACATGGATGAGGGGCAGGTCTTTCAACATTACACGAAAATTGGCCGTTTGTATTTTCTTACATAATTGATTATTATATTTACTAAAATAATACATATATCTTTCAGCTTGATATAATATATCGTTTGTTATCCTGTAAAAATGATTCAAGCTGGAATTAAGTATTATAACCTGAAATATCTATTGCCGAATTATAAATTAAGAAATAGAAAATGAAATTCTTAACAATTAATAATTGTTATTGAAAGCGAAAACTCAAGCTGGATTGAAGAATTGAAACCAGATTCCTCTTTTTGCAATAGAAAAATTTCCCTCTTGCAACGAGGATTTCGGTTTCAATAATTATTATGTTCAACTGAATTCAGTTAAATATTTTATATATATTTTTCTAACATTAAAAATTAAAAAAGCGATTAATACATAAATTTTATTAGTAGTGTTTTCATATTTCCATCAAAGCTTAATTCTAAATTTCCAGATTCTCTTCTTTTTTTACTCTTTGGTGCGTGAAGGGAGAAAAGTGTATCTAATAATCCCAATCGTGACAGTGCCAATGCCTAAAATCTGAAAAATAATGTATTTCTGTAGTTAATATTTTTAGTTGAAATCATGCTTATACCTGTTTTAAATTTTCTAGACTGAGTTTGCAATAACCGAACTTCAGAAATAGACCAAAATCAGCCCTTGCTGCAAAAGCCTCAACGCTTTTCCAGACTGGGTGGTTTTTTTCGTTCAAAGGTCTCGGCTCCAAGATTTTGCATTGAATTATTTCCGTCAGCAATTTGTACTGAAATATTTGACATATTAAAACACAGTTGGTTTTAAAATTTAACCAACCTGGCTTGTAATCTGGCTTCCATAGTAGCTGCAAAGGTACAGGCCTAGCAAATAGCCCAGGGATGACATGTGGAAATTGGAAAAAATATTTGTTGGGTGTGACCTCTGAAAATATTAGTTTTTCAAACATCCAAAAGCGATCCAAAAGCCTAATTTGGCCGAGGGTAACAAGGAAAGTTGACTTAGCCTTTAACTTAAAGCAATCGGCCACATATAATGCCTAAGTCAAAAGTTAATTCAACTAACCTGACTGACGAGCTAAATAAAATCTTTTTCTACTAAACCTTTGAGAAAAGGGCTGAAAGATCGTTAGAAATGAGAATAATGCTCCTGACGTAGGTCCATATGATGAAAGGTGACGAAAATTCTGCAATACTATCCGCAAATCCAACAATAAACTTGTGCGTCTCTACAATGTACTTAACGTCAAAGACCTGCTATATATTAGTTTGTCAAAAATAAATATTTAATTAATAAAAATAAAAAAAAATATTTCTAAATAATACCAATTGAAAGTCACTAGACCAGTAATGGCGTGCAACGTTTTGTCTGCTTCGAATATGAATATGCTCCACGGCGTATTTTAAGTGGCTCAACCAGGCTAGCAAATGGTGCACCAAAAATATGATCACAGTGAAGATGGTGACCTCAAGGAAATTACTGGTAATTGGCCAGAGCAGCCACCCCAGCTTCCAAACAAAACGTAAAATCTCTGATGGAACTTCTGATTGGCCTAGCTCGATCATTACGTTGATGAACTTATTATAATTATTAATATCCTTGGGTTGAAGGTTCTTGAAACTACTCCAAGCTAAAATGGTGCAAACTGAAAAAAAAATCGATTTAATTAATAATCCATTACGCTTTTAGAATAAGCTCACTGTATATTATTGTGGCGCTGATTGCTTTTCTTTCAAATTTCTTAAAGTGACATCCAAGCTGAGTTTCATAGTGAGAAGCGGTTTTTAATTTTGTTACAAGTGATTTGGCGTTTTTGTAGATGTTTAGAAAAATCTGGATGGAAATTAAACGCAAAGAAATCGAGTCAAAATCCTCCGAAAATAGCGGTTCGGTTTCAGAAAATCGAGTCGTCCCGATGAATATGATCATGCCCAAGAAAAGCCAAGCAAAGAAGTGCACAATCAGTTGATAGTAGCGGTAGAGAATATTTCCTATCGAGTCGTAGTCGTCCACATACCAGAAGGTGGCAAAAGCCAGGATCCACATGCTGGGTCCCATGTACTCGATCGGAGCAATCATTTTTGCAAAATGAGGGTGCTTTTCTGGTGGACTAGCTCTTTGTATGAGATACGTCGCGTGATCAACTGATCAGGTGAAACTAATTATAAGTTGATATTGATTCATTACATTAATTTTGCAAAAACAACTGTGTGCATCTCGATTGCAACACATGCTTGAATAAGTTGATGAACCTTTGCTTACATTAAAAGGGGTTTTTAAAATATGTAATGCGT